TGGGCTATCTTGTGTAGGCCTAAGGATCAAGTAAGGCCGGTTATAGAAAACCTGGAATTTAAATGAGGAAGGTGTCTGGCAAGAATTCCTTCATAAGAAATATCTTAATTCCAAAACCCTATCTCAAGTGGAAGCCAAACCTACATATTCTCTATTTTGAAGGGGCTTGATGAAGGTTAAGTCTCCCTTCTTTATCGGAGGCTCTTTTGTGGTTGGTGATGGCCGATCCATGAGTTTCTGGGAAGATACATGGCTGGGAGACAATACACTTGCAATTCAGTATCCATTGTTTTTCAATGTGGTGCGAAGAAAGGATGCCACCGTTCAATCTGTTCTTGGATCAACACCCCCGAACATCCAATTTAGGAGGGCCTTGATTGGCAATAACTGGACAGCTTGGCTCTATTTAGTTCAATGGTTGATGTCAGTCAACCTGACGCTTACGTCTGACGTTGTTAGATGGAGACTAACTAGAATGGGATATTTATCATTAAGTCTATGTGTGCGATCAATACAGGTCCCGTGATTCATAGGAAATATATTTGGAAAATCAATGTACCATTAATGATTAAAGTTTTTATCCCGTTGGTTCAATGGTAGGTGATCCTTACCAAAGATAACTTATCTAAAAGAAACTAGCAAGGATAAAAAAATGTTGTTCTGTGATCAAGAAATTTTTTTATACATCTTTTCATTTCCTGCCCTTTTTGTTTCTTTGATCTGGCTAACTACAACTTGTCACCCTCAGTAAGTATCCCAAATTTGTTTGGTAACTTGCGAGTTGGTACCAATCCAAATTTTAGGGTCATATATATATGGGTTTGTGCCTTACTTTGAGAAATTTTAAATTGCTGAAATGACTGCATTTTTAATAGACCATGTTCTATAAATCTTTTGCAGGTTATCATTCGAGTGGCATCATATATCTGTATGTGGTCACCACTTCAGCATGGGGACGCTCCGGAGCACATCTCCTTTGGGTGGAACCATCTAGCGATGGCTACTCGGGCAAATTCAACATGTTTGGTTGGCATGTGACTATTAGATTATGTGGTTAAGTCATTTAATCTTCTTTTCCGACCGGTTGTGGTCTTTCCACTTTGTATTTGAGCACTTTGAAATACTAGAACCACTTTTTAATAAATTTCGTGCATCATGATGATGTAGAGCCCACCACCTTTTCAAAAAAAAAAGAAGTGCATAATATTTTTGCCTTTCCTCCAAGTTATCATGTTACCTCTTTTGTTATGTATGAAATAACTTTTGGGTTCTGATAACAGAACTGCATCTGTTTGGGTATCCGACCTCCAATTTCGCCATGATGGACGAGTAGGTGACTGATGATATACCTCGACTCTCTCTCTCTCTCTCTCTCTTGAGTAAAATGCTATTTTGATAGCACCTTTCTCATATACGGAGATCTTTGACGCCATTTCTCAAAGGCAAAGGAATAAGGCTCTGGGACCGAATGAGTTCCCCGAGGAGTTTTATCACAAGTGGTTGGGGATAATCAAGGGTGACCCTTTACCCATGTTTGAGGATCTGTTCAATGATGATTTATTGTTGTTCTACCTCACTTTGGGATAATCATGTTGCTTCATAAGAAGGAAGATGAATTCAAATTGAGCAATTCAAAACTATATGTTTGTTGAATGTTAGCTTCAAAATATTCACTAAAGTGCGTGTTAATGGGCTATCCATTATTGCTCACTACATGGTTCGCCCTACACAAACTCCTTTCATGCCTGGATGAAATATCTAGGAGGGGTGATTGTCTTCCATGAAACTATTCATGAGCTTCACAAAAAGAAACTTGATGAAGTTATCTTTAAAGTGAACTTCGAAAAGGCGTATGATAAGTTCAAATGACCATTTGTTCAACAAGATCGACGTGTGCAAGGTTTTGCCATGAATTGGTGACATCAGGTTGAATCTTTCGTTCAGAGTGGGAGCGTAGGGCTCAAGGTAAATGATGACATTGGTCATTATTTCCAGATGCTAAAAGATTTGCGAGAGGGTGATACTACATCTCCCATCCTTTTTAATTTTGTCGTTGATATCTTGGCCATCCTTATAGCATAGGCTAAGAAGGATGGCCAAGTCGTGGTCTCATTCAACACCTGGTGCATGGGGGTGTGTCTAACCTTCAATATTCTAATGATATAATCATTTTTATGGAGAATGATTTGCAGAAGGCCATTAATATGACGTTGATCCTTTGCCTTTTTGAACAACTATCTGGTCTCAAAATAAATTTCCATAAGAGCGAGTGATATACCCAAAGAAACATAAAGACAATATAGACAACTCTTCGGGTGTGAGGTGCTCTCCCTCCTATTTACTTATCTTGGAATACCCATTCATCACCGTATGCTAACCAACCAAGAATGAGAATTATTGAGGACCGGCTCAAAAAAAAGTTGGGTTGATGGATGGGTAAACTCATGTCATAAGGGGCACTGTTAAATCTTGTCAACGCGGTTCTCGCAAGTTTACCCGTGTTTATGTTGTCCTTTTTTGAAATATCCAAGGGGTTTTGAAAATACTAAATTTCTTCTGGCATTGTGATGAACACAAACGGAAGTATAGAATGGCTAAATGAGATATCTTCTGTAGGCCTAAGGACCAAGTCAGGCTGGGTATAGAAAACTTTGAATTTAAAAATTAGTTATTGCTTAGTAAATGGCTATTAAGTTACAAAATGAGAAATGTTTCTTGCAAGAACTCCTTCATAATAAATATCTTCATTCCCAAACGCTATCTCAAGTGGACGCCAAACCTACATATTCTCAGTTTTGAAAGGGCTTGATGAAGGTCAAGTCTCCCTTCTTTATGCAAGGCTATTTTGTGGTTGGTGATGGCCGATCCATGGGTTTCTAGGAAGATACATGGCTGGGAGAGAATCCACTTGCGGCCTAGTATCCATCGTTATTCAATGTGGCACGAAGGGAAGGATGCCACCATTCAATCTGTTTCTGGATCAACACCCCTGAACATCCAGTTTAGGAGGGCCTTGATTGGCGATAAATGGATGGCTTAGCTCCATTTAGTTCGCAGGTTGATGTCGGTCAACCTGACGCTTACGCCTCACATTGTTAGATGGAGACTAAACTATAACAGATATTTACTACCAAGTCTATGTATGCGATGAATACGGGCCCGGTGTTTCATAGGAAACATATTCAGAAAATCAATGTACCATTAAAGATTAATTTTTATCTTGTTTGTTCAATGGTAGGTGGTCCTTACCAAAGATAATTTGGCTGAAAGAAACTGGAATGGATGTAAAAAATGTTGTTTTGTGATCAAGAGAAAATAATTATACATCTTTTCATTTCCTGCCCTTTCTGTTGCTTTGATCTGGTCGTACTACAACTTTTCAGTCCTAATAAGTATCCCAAATTTGTTTGGCAACTTGTGAGTTGGTATCAATCCAAAGTTTAGGGTCATATCTATATAGGGGTTTGTGCCTTACTTTGAGCAATTTGAAATTGCCGGAATGACTACGTTTTTAATAGGCCATGTTCTATAAACTTTTTGCAGGTTACAATCCGGGCCACATCATATATCCGTATCTGGTCATTACTTCAGCGTGGGATGCTCCGGAGCACATGGCATTTGGGTGCAATCGGCTGGCGATGGTTGCTCATGTGTTATTTAACTTGTTTGGTTGGTGTGCCACTTATAGATTTTGTGGTTAAGTCATGTAATCTTCTTAGCACTTTGAAATAATAGAACCTCTTCTAATAAATTTGGCGTGTGCATCATGATGATGTAGAGCCCCCCTGTTTTCGAAAAGAAGTGCATAATAATTATTTATTTCCTTCAAGTTATTATGTTACCTTCTGTTATGTATGAAATAAATTTTGGTTTGTGACAACATTACTGCATTTTCCTTAGATAATAAGTTATTGGTATATCATGGATTGTATTCTGGTTCATTGGTCTATTCAATGGCAAGATGACATTATTAACAAATATAAGGAGAAAAGAAAACTCATGGACACTGACAAACACAAAATGGGGCAGCAAAGCACACTTTCCTTCTAACTTATGATATACCCAATAATAATTATGAGAAAATGGGTGCATGGACGGGGCATGGAAGAGGGAGAGATGGAGATATATGCCCAACAAGTCCAAGTGACGGAAAAGACACAAGACCAGGATATGTGAGGAATCAAACAAGTTTATCCCAAACACCTATCCACCAGGACCTACCGACGACGAGTGCATGACTGTTTGGGAGAGCAGGTCCCGAAACTCCACCCTTTGTGATCCTGCGTGGGAAGAAGAGTGATAAGGTTACTGGGGAATGTCTCGGCGCGGCGCGACTACTCGCTATTGTTTGCCTACGTCCACGACTTCAACTACTTCCTCGGCCTCCCCACCGACGATATGGGTGACAACAATATCAACATCTCAAACAAGAAGGCTGTTGAAGCCTCTGCCGCCATAGTTTTGTACTTTCGAACTAGAGGGTATGATCTATACATCCCTCTCTTATCCGTTCATGTGTTAGCCATACTTTTTTTTGGTGGTGATGTGTTAGCCATACTTGTTGTTATCATAGATGTTTCTTTTTCTATGCTTATTACGTGCTCACATGTTTAGCTCTCAGTATGCGATTAATATTCTTAGCAATGTCATCATGCTTTATATGCGAATCAAAATTAATCAAAAAATTATAATATGTGAAATAATAGTTATGAGAAAATAGGTGCATGCACCGGACGTGGAAGATGGAGAATTGGAGATGTATGCCTAAAGGATCCAAGCCAGGGAAAGGCCAAGCCAAGCCAGGAGTCAGACGGGTTTATCCCAAACACATATCCACCAGGATAACAATTGATAGATGACGCAGAAAATTGGCATCGAACATCTATATATGGAGTTGCTTGCAGCTTTGGGCAGACACAACCACAACAAAACCATCATTCAACGAGTAGATCGACAGGACTGGGAAGAGATTTGCTCCACAAGTTCAGGACCAACCAACGATGAAGAACAGCACGCTTGTGGCGATCCTGGTCGTCCTCCAGGCCATCATGGTCATAGGAATCCTCTCACACGCCGCCGATGGTATGTACGTTCCACTTATCTGTCCCGGCTGCAACAACATCTGCTTGGTTTGATTGCATGCGTTCGTGCAGACAATTTCCCCAAGTGCTGCGACCACTGCAACTCCTGGTCGGGGTACCAATTCTGTGACGACGTCGGCCCCAGGTGCCGCGACGGCTGCGTCAACTGCCACGTGGTGGAGACGAGCCCCGTGAAGACGTTCCGGTGTGGAGATGGACGCCCCGTCCTCGGCGGGCAAGGCACGCCCACGCCCTGCCCACCACCGTGCAAAAAGCATTGATCGCTAGAGCTCAGACAGTGAGATCGATGTTGCGCCTAAAACATAAAATAAAAAGGCTCCGATGAGATGAGCAGAGCCACTCCCAGCGTTCTCTTTCCTTTGAGAGATAATATAGTTGATGTTGCTTTAATAAATAAATAAACACGGGTATCAGTTTGTATATACGTCTCTGCTTAATCAAATAAAAAACAGTTTATTTGTGCGATGTATTTGTGCTGTCCAGTGCGCTGTGGTGAACGGAACCTTTTCGGTGCTCAAGCATATATCTAGGGTTGTCACACTCGGTGCGAGTTGAATGGATTATTTTTTCCCAGTTAAGGATAAACTCCAGCATTGCATCGAAAGATACACCGCTGACGTTTGTACTGTCCAGTGCAGCGATGAACTGATCCTTCTCGGTGGACGACGATTCGCGGCACGCAAGGGTGGGCCACATTATTGCGTCGTGATCCGTAAAGTGGATTGGTCACATGCATGTGTTTAGACCCCCTGCATGTGTTTGAAGCTTAATCCCCTTCGAATTCCTGCATGAGACATGTTTTGGCAGAGATAGCACGGTTCACCCACATGATTGGGTGGATTGGTCACATGAATGTGGACCCCTGCATGTGTTTGAAGCTTAATCCCCTTCGAATTCCCCCATGCTTTTTCTCTTGACTTCAAATTTTAACCCATTGTATTTTTTGGATCCAAAATCCAATTAGTATTTCGTTTGCAAATTAGTGTTAGTTGTGACGAGGGATTTGGAACAAGACCACTCTTGAGCATGTTTAGACAAGTGTTTGAAACTTCACCAAGTTTCAACTACTGAAACTTGACAAGAACGGATAATAAATTCACCAAGTTTCAAAACTAAAACTAAAACTAAAATTAAAACCCTAAACCCTAAGTTTCTAAAACTAAAACTTAAAACTGATTCGTAAGCCCTAAGCCCTAAACCCTAAGCCCCAAATCCTAAACCTAGAACCCTAAAAGCAAATGAAACTTGGTAAAAACTTATATAACGACTATCTGAATATGTAAACCTTGGATTTTTTCAAGAAGTTTTCAAAATGTATTCAAGATCGGTCTTGTTCGAAAGTTCTCGTCACAATGAACACAAATATGCAAACAAAACTTAACTTGGACTTTTGATTCAAAAGATATAGTAGATTCAAATTTGAAGATGAAATGAAAAGGCATGGGAGGTGGGGTGGATGGGGCATGTAACTCTAGCAAAAGCCACCAAAAGCATGCATGGATGGACCTCGCACTACGGCAATCAAAGGCCTTAAGACCAAACAAGTTTGTGAATATTAAAGCAATTTGACGACTACATGCATGTGTGCTCCTGTCCCGAGAGTTTCTACCTTGTCTCTGTATGCCCTTGTGAGTTTCTACTTCTCGCTGACTGTTATCACACTCGGTGTGAGTCGGAGTGGTTATTTTTCAACATAGGGTAAATCCCGAATTTGCATAGAAAGATACGCACAGTTGTATATTATTAAATTAAAACAATGTCATCCTAAAAAATAAAAAATAAGACCTACTACTGTAAAACGGACTACAAGTGGTGAGCACAAAATAGCTATCAGTGGCAGGCAGGACACCCGCCATTAATAACCTGCCACTGATAATATGGTTACTAGTGGCGAGCAATCGCCACTGGTGAAAGACCCTAGAAGTGTTGAGCAAACATTCCCACCCGCCACTCAAGTCCAAGGATTCAAGCACAACCAGATGATGATGCTTTGTAGATAGGATGGGCCATGCATGTCACCAAACTTCGTGATATACAGTCCACCTCGGGTATGAATTTCTATAAAAGTGTTTGAATAAACTTCTGAAGATGATATTATTCAGAAAGCTTCAAGAATTGGGGTATCTTTGGGCAGCAACTGTCACGGAGTTTCCTCTTCGGTGAATGAGTTGTTGAACTCAGAGACCGACATAGTGTTGGTGATGCTAAAAAAAGGCTGCCAAAACACCCATGAGGATCATGATCCTCAATGGCTTTCGATCCCCTATATTCAGAGTATGTGTGAGGACATGAACGCAGAGGAGGTATGTTTTTACCGAAAAATCATATGTTTACTTCGGAGACAAGGTTAAAATACCTTGCAAGCGCAGAAAAAATTGTGTTTGATCTTTTTGTGGTGCGGCCTAGTTCACGTGTAAAGTTTAGAAAGAAATTTCATATGAATGGGAGGGATTTTTTAGAATAGCAGAGATCTTTAGGACTTGGCTAAACGACAATTTTTTCAGACACTTCCAGGGAACAAAATTTAGATTTCATTGCTCTAGTAGAGACAGAGCGCCCAAACTTCGCGGCACCATTCCAGAGCTTCCTATGTAGGGGCCTAGATTTTTCTTGGTATTGCCTACCACCGAGGGCTAGGTCGGGCGGTATCTTGCTTGGTCTAAACATATTGATAGTGGAGGTTCATAATGTGAAGGTTCATGGTTTTCTCCATCAAATTCCATGTGCACTCGAAAGGTGATGACTTCTCATGGGCACTAGTTGTTGTTTGTGGGGTCGCGCAGCCGAAACTTAAGCCTGATTCTGGTAGAGCTGGTCGATTTCTGTGGGTCGGAGTCTTTACCCATATTGTCGGGTGGAGATATTAATATCATTCGGTGTAACAACAAGGAAGATAACAGTAACTTTGATGCAAAATGGCCGTTTATGTTTAATACAATCATTGGGAGCTTAGACATAGAGAGATTGCTCTGTCAGTTGGAAAGGTTGATACTTCACCTTGGCGCATAATCTTGAAGTTCCAACATATGGAAGCTTGATTGCATGTTGATGAGTGTTGAGTGGGAGCAAAAGTTCACTCTTACTGTTAGAGCCCTCCAAAGAAGCATCTTTGATCATACCCCACTTCTTTTGGACTACGGTAAAATTCTCATTTAGGGAATAAAGCCGCCATCTCTTTCGAAAAATCTTGGTTTGGTGTCTCACAAATGGTTAGGAAATGAGATGTAACTAATATTGAGTGCTGTCAATTCAAAATCCGCTATCTTTGGGGATGGGTGAAAAGCTTGAATGGTGTTTATAGAAAAGAAAAGGAGTGTATTTTGGATATTGTCAACAATATAGATATCAAAGTCAAATCCTCACCCCTTTGCATGGAAGAATATGTAGCCAATCAGGAGGCAGATGATTTTTTCGCAAAACTTATGCAGGAGAAAAGAGTTAAAATGGTCTCGACGCGCTAAAGTTAAGTTTATTTGGGAAGGGGACGCTAATATTATGTTTTTCCATTTGATTCCAAATGGAAAGTGTAGGAAAAAGAGAATCTATCAACTTGAACAAGATGAAAGTACTATTGTTGGTCAGGACTTACTTAAGGCATATATTACCAACTATTACAAGCATATTTTTGGGCATCCAACCTCCAATTTCGTCATGATGGACGAGGAGGTGACTGATGATATACGTCGGCTGACATCACCTTTTTAGATAACGAGATCTTTGGTGCCATTTCTCAAGGGGAAAGGAATAAGGCTCCACGACCGGATGAGTTCCCTGCGGAATTTTATCAAAAGTGTTGCGGAAGAATCAAGGGTGGACTTTTACACATGTTTGAGGACCTTTTCAACGATGATTTAGTATTGTTCTGCCTCACTTTGGATAATCAGCATGCTTCATAAGAAGGAATATGCAATTCAAATTGAACAGTTCAAAGCTATATGTTTGTTGAATGCTAGCTTCAAGATATTCACGAAAATTGGTACTAATGGGCTATCTGTTACTGCTCACCCCATGGTTTGCCCTATGCAAACTCCTTTCATGCCTGGATGAAATATCTAGGAGGGGTGGTTGTTCTCCATGAAACTATTCATGATCTTTACAAATAGAAACTAGATGAAGTTATCTTTAAAGTGGACTCCGAAAAGGCGTATGATAAAGTTAAATGACCTTTTCTTCAACAAGTTCTACGTATGAAAGGTTTTGCCGCGAACAGGCGACATCAGGTTGAATATTTTCAGGGTGGCATCATAGGGATTAAGGTATTCCAGGCCGTGAAAGGTTTGCGACAGGGTGATACTATGTCTCCCATCCTCTTTAACATTGTCGGTGGTATGTTAGCCATCCTTTATAGCACAGACTAAGAAGGATGGCCAAGTCGGTGGACTCATTCAATACCTGGTGCATGGGGGTTTGTCTATCCTTCAGTATGCCAATGATATAATCATTTTATGGAGAATGGTTTGCAGAAGGCCAATAATATGAAATTGATACTTTGCCTTTTTGAACAACTGTCTGGTCTAAAAATAAATTTCCATAAGAGTGAGCGATAGAGCCAAAGAAATAAAAAGGCAACATAGACAACGCTTTGGGTGTGAGGTGTGTACTCCCTCCCATTTACTTATCTTGGAATACCCATTCATCACCGTAAGCTAACCACCCAAGAATGGAAAATTACTGAGGAATGACTCAAAGGAAAGATGGGTTCATGGATGGGTAAACTCATGTCATATGGGGCATGTTAAATCTTATCAACGCGGTTCTCACAAGTTTAGTCGTGTTTATGTTGTCCTTTTTTGAAATACCCAAATGGGTTTTGAAAATACTAAATTTCTTCTGGAAATGTGATCAACACAAATGGAAGCATAGACTGGCTAAATGGGATATCTTGTCTAGGCCTAAGGACCAAGTTAGGCTGGGTAAAGAAAACTTGGAATTTAAAATTTGGCTCTTGCTCGGTAAATAGCTATTCAAGTAAGAGAATGAGGAAGGTGTCTGGCAAGAACTCCTTCATAATAAATATATTAATTCCAAAATCCTATCTCAAGTGGAAACAAAACATACATATTCTCCATTTTGGAAGGGCTTGTGAAGGTCAAGCCTCCCTTCTTTATGCGACGCTCTTTTGTTTTTGATGATGGCCGATCCATGAGTTTCTGGGAAGATACATGGCTGGGAGACAATCCACTAGCGATTCAGTATCCGTCGTTATTTAATGTGGCGCGAAGGAAGGGTGCCACTGTTTAATCTGTTTTTGGATTAACAC